GAAAAGGGAACAAGGCTGATTTCCATCTTCTACCTACTGGAATTTAAGCCCCTGTCTCCCATAAGAGGGAGAGGTTATGGCTGAGACAGAGAACTGTGGGTTCTGTTGCAGGCAACATGCGCTTTACCAGTTTTTGTGTGACAGCATAGCTTTGCCACTTGCATCTCCTTTCCAAATCTGGCTTTAGGTCATACTACAGCAAAATAATTTAGCAGATGCTTAGCTCTCAATAGCTGCTTTAAGTACATTGGCATCAACATAATTCTACAGAGAAGTGTTAAATTAACACCACCATCCTCATGTGAATATGTTTCCACAATGTGATCCTTCTCTCCTGTTATGTGTATCTTGTATTCAACAGTTTACTGTCAAAACCATGCAGAGGTGCTTAGCAAGTCTACCAACTATGTATTAACAAATGAAATATCTTGATTTCCATTCTCTCCAAAGAAGGGCTTTTAAGCTTAAGCAGAAGCTATTTTTATAGCAGAAAATATCAATATAAGTAACTGCATTAGAAGCAAATTCCAAAATATGCTCATCTCTAAATACAAAAGAAAAAAAAGAAAAGACAGACTGCACTAACTAAACAACATTCCAGACAAGAAATTAAGCCTTTCTATAGTCATTCCAACTGAATATATAGTTCAGTTTAACAGTTGAACCAGTTATCTAGTTATGGATATTTTAAGAAGTCCTTCAATGTCCATCAAACAAATATACGAAAAACTCTTTTCTTTCTCCTCTCATCAGAAGAGATTGTTTAAACTTGTAAACACAGAAGGCACTCTTGTTCTCCATGAAGTCCAGATGGTCAGGAAAAAAGGAGTGAGAGAAAAATAGTTGGGTTTTTTTCTTTGTATTTCCCCCTATCCCCTAATCAAAACCAAACCAACCTGCTGTTTACTCATCTATTGACTCTTCTCATCTAGTAAGATGATCTGGAAATAGAAGATTAGTCATTTACTGCTAGAATACTTCAGAAGAAGAGGTAGGTAGAGAAATATCAACAGAGCCACGTTTTCCATCAGAAAACATGACAATATGTTTGACTGAGCCAAGCTTATTTAATAAGTACAATGGAATTTAATTTAGGAAAAGACCAGAAAAAATGATATATTCATTTCCTACTCTGAAGCAGCCATATGGAAACTTCTGTATACTTCAAAAAAGATTTTAAGAAATTCCTTTAATGAAATTTCCTTCCAAGAACACATCATCAAAGGCCATTACCACTTTCCACTCAGCTTTACTCTGTAGCAAATATATCCTTTGAAGGAAGGGAAGGCAAACAGAATTCTAGCATAATAAGCCACACTTTCTTTCCGTTGTTATACCTTGGGCAACTCCAGGGCACTTTCACTTGCAGTATGTTGCAACCTGGTACAGGTTATGTTGCAATAAGAGCAAAGTTACCTTTGTTCTGAAGTTAATCTTCATTCACTTGAAAATGTACACCAATTCCTGAACCTTCTTTAATTACTCCACTAGCTGGGTTCTCATGTTTTGTGTCTGATCCAGGCCTGAACTCTACCAACATGCAATTTATTAAGTGTACTGTTGAGAAATGAAAGTCAATTCCAAATTTTGTAGCTTACATAGGATAAGGAAAAGTAACACATGCAATTCTTTTAGGACACCACTTATTATCTGATAAGGCCAGTTAAATTTTCACATGGAAGTAACTTTCCTCAAAGAAATGCAATTTTCAGTGGATTGAGTTATGACTCCTTTGAGAACTACATTGGCCAGATGTGCATTGGAGCTTCTTAGCAATTACCAAGCGTTATGTTAAGTCAGATCAATGGTTTTACACACAATACAAACCTGGTTTCTCTGTCAGGGATGTGAATCACACAGATGCAGTTTTACTTTAAAATGTATGACCAACCACTATTATGGCAGCTTTATGAAGGGGAAGTAGAAGGTTGCAGTGGGATTTAATTTGGTCTCCAGTGTCTCACTCAGAAGAGTGTTATTTTATTCTCTGGCATGCCTTTGTGTGCCCCACCTCTGCCATTTGCTACACAACTGGGATTTAAATAACTGCTGGTGTCTTCTTGCAGTTCTTTTTCTGGCTATTCGAAACACACAAAATGCTAATAACTAACACCTTGACACAAAACAGGTCCTATGGGCTACAGACAACTGCTGGGTGGAGGGCAAGAAATTCAAATAACTAGAACTCACTGTTTTACTCTAGCATTTAACATGGCAATAATTACTTCTACAACAGACTGTATACATCACATAAACGAACTCTTTCTTAAGCTATATTTGAGCACTATATAGTCAATTAGACAAAGAATTGTAGAAATATTAATAGCTGTAGTATGAATGAAACAAGAAGAAGGCAAACCAGCAAAGCTTTAAGTTGGCTCTATCATGTTCTGATTAATTAAACAAATGCATTTTAGAAAAAAAGGTTTACTATATTTCTTCATATAAAAGAGACCAAATAGGAGGCCACAGGAGGTCCTCTGCAACCTTCAGGATTGCCTACTTTGCTGTTGGTGAATATGCTACTGCTAGTGTGGTGATTTCTCCCCATGTGCACAAGATGTGTTAATACCAAATCATCCATGTCATATTATATCCTTTCCTTAGCTTCAAGGCAGACACATCTTCCTCAGGATGACAATTCAGGCCAGTGCCCTTGTATTAATGGAGACAGCATTTTTACTGACAGGTCTCAGAAAAGGACTTGGCCAACCTACAACTGTTTGATTGCTTTGATTGATTTGATGTGATTTAATTGATCTTAAGTAATGTAAGTTAAGAGTAGACATTCAGCTTTTTGAGATACAGGTGCACAGGAGAAATGGGAAACCCTCTTAAAAGGCTACTCACTGCAACAGTTTACAAAACACAGTAGCAGTGTTTTAGTTGTGATGGTTGAGTTCAAAATGTGAGGGAGGAAGCTTAAAGTTTAAAAACATCTTTTTTCTCTAAAGCTCTACATGATCTAAGAGAAGATACTACCTTTCCATACAAATTGTGTCTCACTTATCTGTGGAATGTATAGGCTTCCTCAACCACAGTTTTCCTTCCTGACAAATGCTAAAATATTGGAAAGCCCATTAAACTCAAAGCTTAGCTCATTTGTCATGGAACTAAACATTCCCACATAGCAGAAGAGGAGAAATTGGCATGTAAGTAAATAAGTGACTGGAAGGAGAAGCTAGACAAAAGATACATCATAGGAACAATTCAACTTCTGGGAAATCAACTATGATTCTTTCACACAGCAAATGCAGTTGCTATCAGTTACATACGAACATGTAGATGGGGAAGCACCATGCACAAGTGCCTATGGTGAGTTACATAAACCTCCACTGGTTAGCATTCAAAACACTTATGTAAGTTAACTCGTATTTTTGGACTTCTGTGAGGTACTTGACTGATGCTTTGTACCCTTAGAACAAAGAAATAGTGAACTGAAAACCACACCCATTACTTTGTGACATTTCATCTTTTGCAAAACATAAGGAAGGCACTTTTTCAGGCTGTAGGAGACCATGATTCAGATCTCAGACAATACCCATGTCACATGTTGTAGGATATTCTGAGAAGTTATTCCACCTCTGTTTCTAATGTTGGTAGTAATTTGCACTAAATATTAAAAAAAAATATTTAAGCAGAACTGTGTCAGAAGCAGACATTGAAGAGAAAGCACTTAAAAATACCTGACAACACTAAGACATGTTCTCAAAGCAGTGGTTCAGCTCTTGCTCTGAAATGGGTGAAATCTGTTTTGAACTGACTTCCATCATTCCAGGTGGACATCCTAATTAGAGGTATCTTCATGGAACAGAGAGCACAACTTCTTACCCTGGTACTTCTTACCTGTTAAGGAAATGCAGCAAGAAATAAGAGTTATGAAATTGTTTCAGGAAAACAGTCACCACAAAAACTGGCCAATTTCTGTCAAGATCCTGTGTCACACAGGTGAACTGAGACAAGAGGTACTCAAACCCCTTATTACCCTGAAAAAACAGAATGAGAAATGTCTTTGAACAAATTAAACTGGCTGAGAACCATGCAAACAGTGGTGTAGCAATGTAATAAAAGCAGTAACATGATTAGCAGAAAATATTTTTCAGCTTTTTCTAACAGATTTTCTTTTTTGCAAGCATGATACAGAAAGATAATGCTTAAAGGTTTTTTTGGGGGATATTCTTGTTTGTTATGTGTTAAAAGTCTCACTGAATCAAGAATTCCACTCTATATTTTGATACTTTCAAAAATGAAATCAGAAATAGCTGTATATTTACTTCAGTGTATTCCTGTTGTCCCCAGATAATATAAAGATTTATAGCATTTTTTTCAGTCCTACTTCCAAGCTGACTTAGAAGTTACAGAGTATGCAAAATGAGCAATAATAGTGAATAGATGAAGGGAAAAGAAAATCTAGTATGCTGGCCCAAAAACTTCTGAACTGCTCAACTGCTGATATGCCTAAAATTCAGTTTTAACTAAGTCCAGTTCAGACTCATTTAGCTGATACAGACGATGTCTACATACACTTCTACTGCATCTACTCCATTAAGTATAATTTTTAAAATTTTGATATTCTGACCAGTTTTCAAGGAAAAAGACTAAAAGCACAGCAAGCTGAAGTTTCCAACTTCAGAACAGGTGGAATTGTACCCCTGTCCATACATTGCCCTGATGACAATCTCTAGAAGAGCAAAGGCATAAATTAATTTAAACTATATACAATCTTTTAGTTTTTTAACTAACCACCCCCACATTTTTTAACCAAAGATACTCAAAGAGTACAAATTTCTTTTTACATAAAGTGAAATTATTACTTTTAATACAGTGTCAGGTGGAAGACAATACTTACCTGAAAAGCCAGACAAAAACTTTGGGGGAAGGTAATTTTCCAAGAAAACATTAACCATTCCTTAATCCAGTCACCAACCTTGTTGTTCAGCATACTTCCAAAATCGTTTTTTAACTTCAGGGAGATAGTAATTTTCAACAACAGATGCACATGTAAATATTCAATCCATTTATTGTAGAAACACTGAAGACACAATATAGTTTTAACATACTCCCAATGAATAAGTTCTAATTTAGTCTGAACAATACATTGTTTATTGTGGAAATGCTACAGACACAAACAGAAATTTAAACACCACTATCAGAGAACATGACACTTCAAGGAAGGCCAAAAGAAAACGGCTCTTAAAGCTAAAAAGGAGAGGCAGATGCCATTTCCTAGAAATGAAGGAAGGTAGGCTCCACCGGAGCAGCTTTAGTACTGGGCTTTTCTTTTGGATTGATGGTAAATGAAAAACCCAGAGCCCAGTGATTTTTCCTTTTTACCTAATTGCTCCAATCCAGGAATCTTTGGCACAGGAATTTTCCTTTGCTTTGTGGCTCTAACATTATTCAGCCATTTGTTTTTAACAAGGCCACTGCTTTTACAACTTTTAATCCTAGTCTGTGGCATTTAAGCGCATGTTGTGCAAAGAATGCTCTTGAGTGTCAAACTCTATCTTGATAGGAGAGTACCAGCATCAGGTTATTGCACTAGTTCTTTTATACTCTAGTTTTATCTGACTAACAAACAAGGCTGTTAGAGAACTGATTTTCCTCATTATTTGCTACACTGGCCTTATTTTATTTCATTTACACTGACAAGCTGACAAACATAACTACATGCAAGAGGAAAGAATTCCACTGCATTGATTTAAAGGGACAAAAAAATTAATCGCCAAACTGAAAGTTATTTTAAGGTATTCATGCAAATATTCTATTTCAAGTTCACTCTTGTACACTGCCTAGATTTAAACCACTGAGATGCACTGCTTCTTCTTTGCAGAGAGACATAATGAGGCTATTTGAAAAACCTGCACCTCAGAGGATATGTGGTTTATTCTCTCAGTTCCAATGGTACATTTACTTCTTTGTTGCTGTGTATTAGTTGTGAAGCTGTATTCATGAAACAGGGAATGTTTATATATTCAAAACTTATGCATAAAATAGAAGTAAATCACATGCATTTTTTTAGCCATCATTAAAGCAATGACAAAATAAAAGTACTATAAAAGATTGTATGAAACTAGAGATCTTTTACAATTTTTTAAACAGCAAAAAACTATTAAGTTTCATAATGGAATTCAAAACACATTTTTGGGTACAATTCTTTGCATGTTATTCCTCCTTACAGTGCTAAATAATCACTTTAGTTTTTCCTCTTATCAGCAAACATCTGCCTACACACTAATTCAGAAAATATTAATTAAAAACTGGAAAGTATTAGAGCCTAGCACACGGATTAAAAATGTCTCTGATCATATATTTGATATCAAGTCCTAGCATGAAATTTCTGTAGCTAATCCAAGTAATTTCTTGTTAGGAAATAGCACACATAGTCTGTCAGATAATTTTGAGTACAAAAGATACAGAGATAAAGTAGTTTAACTGAATAGCTCTGAAGACTCCTAGGCATCAGCAGGGAAGGCACTTTTCCGGTCACATAGTTCTAAGCACAACGAGACTCAGCACAGCTTTGGTATTTCAACACCTCCTTCAGTTCCTATGCAAGTGATATCCACTGACTGCCCAGTCCTGAACTTCTCCACTTGCAAATAATGCAAAGAAAATCGCTCCAAATAGATTAATAGAGGCAGCAATATAGAAAACCATCTGCCATTCTCCCACAGTATTCTGTCAAATGGGGGAAAGAAAAGAAAAGATGCAGTCAATTTGCAGCTTCATACTCAAGAAAAAGGAATTTTAAAATCGATACTACATGCCTTGCCTATTTAAATGTAAATGCCATTCAGCATGATTTCACAGCAACATATAAGCATTATTAACATAAAGGATGAAATCATTAGTATAGTCAACTTCAGTTTTATAACACACCTTACACAGACAGTCTTATCAGAACTGCGTGGCCCTATCTGGAACAGTTTATCACCCAAGACGCAGAACCAGAGATACAAATGCAGAGAATGTTACTGTAAGGGAAACACTACCTTGGCTTTCGGGTGATCCAAGAGCTGAAGTGCCCTGCACTGTGCAGTAAGCTATTCCTAATGACCACTATGTGAACATTCCAGATGCAAAAGCTTTTTGGTCCAAACAAGGTAGCTACCTTAATTCAGATTTCAAGACTAATCCTCTAAACTCTGGTATTTAAGAAATGCTTTAACAAATGTGTAGTAAAGAACTGTGGTTTGTTTGCTTTTTGATTTTGTTTTTTTTCTTTTCAAATAAAGAAATAATATGTATAGATGTCTTAAAGGTTTGGGATTTTTTTTAAGGTCAAGATGATGCTGTAACAAACCTGTAAATGATCTTACTATAAAAACAGAATACCCGAAGAGTGCATTAGTATGGAGGGGAAAAAACTAAACTGAACAAAAATACCCTAAAACAACCCACTTGTTAAGGTATCTGCAAGAACTTACTTTATTGGAATCATGTATTAATGTACCAATGTACATTATTAATACTATTACATTACATTATTATATTATATTCTTAAATTACATTATTCTTAATATATATATTCTTTATTTATATTCTTAAATTATATTATTATTATTACTAATGTACATGTATAAATATTTTCTGATTGTTTTTCGTGAGAGCATGGTGATAATAACACCAAGGTCACGAGTTTGATCCTCAAATGGGCCATTCCCTTAAGAGCTCGACTTGAAGATCCTTGTGGGTCCCTTCCAATTAAGAATATTCTGTGATTTTTAAGAAAATCCTTAGAATGACCTCCAACTCCAAAAAATTCAAGTGTATCACTAAGCTTACTCTTCCCATCTCCCTTTCTTGAAAGATTTTAGAATAATTCATATGTTCATTGGAAAAATAGTAATCAAAAATTCCTCAAAAGCCCCAGTGCTTCCTTTTTTCTATCCAAATCTATACCACTTTGTTAGTCTAATCTAATACTATAGGAATCTAGCTTCTCCTTTATCTGACAAATGCTGACATTAGAACTCAACACCTCACATGAGGTGTTAATTAAAAACAAGCAAGAACTTGTCCTAATTTAATAAAACAATACCACAAATGTCTCATCTAGTTGGCATTTTATCAGAGTTCTACTGTGATAAAAATATTTTATCACATTTTATTATTATTTTATTCCTAGAGAGTATAAGGGGTGAGTCAGTAAAATTTTGAAGTCTTACAAAGATCTTTGATTTTACCCTTATTTTCCTGATCAGAATCAGGACAATAAAAGCTAGGAATTAAGTAATTCACAACAATGGAACAATATGACTCAAGGTGTAACCTATGTTTCATTTAAAGACTGCAGACTTGAGAAGAAGGAATTTCTATTCAACAGAGATAAAAATATAACAACAGAAAAAAAAATAAACAGACTCACATTCTGAGTGAGGTTTTTGGCAATAACTGGCCCCACCATTCCTGGGATAGTAGCAAAAGAATTTGTGATCCCAAGGAGAATTCCAGCATACCTGCAAAAGAAGTTGTTAATACTGCTTATTAACTTGTAAGGCTTATCAATCATCGAAACAATTTTGCCTAACCTGACCATGTAAGCCTCATCTTGATCACACAAGAAAAATTTTAACACAAATATTCCAGTGTGAACGACTTGCTTTTCTTCTAGTAACAACTCTCTGACAGCTTGGCATATATATTTTAAAGGACACAGTTTAGTAGTGGACTTGGCAGTGTTAGGTTAATGGTTGGGCGTGATGATCTTAAAGATCCTTTGCTACTTAAATGATTCTGTATTTCTCTATTTTTCAGAGGCTAGTTACAGAATTTTACTTAAATTGCCCATGGCTTTGCTCAAGATCCGTAATCCAAACCCACATCCCCTTTGCTAAGCCTCAACCAAACTGTCTGGAATGGATCCATTCGAGCAGTAAAAGACACATCACATGTCTTGAAGCAGAAAGACAAGGAGTATGACAAAGTGCTGTTTGACAACAGGAAGAGTTGGTTCAGGTTTCATTGCTAAAAATTTGTCTGCCAAGAAAGCAATATCAGCAGTGTGCCTGGATATCCCCACTTAAATTACAAAGTGTATATTCCAAAGATAGGAGTTCAGAGTGCTGTGGCAGTCCTTCCCTTCAGCTTTCTGTGGGTCAAGTCCAATGGGAAATGGGTCTGACTAAACCAGTTCTACTGGTTGCTGCTCCTGCAGCTCCATTCTGAGGCCTCCTGTTCCATGAACGTGCTGCTCTCTCACACACAAATGTATGTGTATGCACCAGTAGCCATAAAAACTTGTTAGGAAAAGCTGGTAACTTGCTTAATATCAGAGTCTCAGCATCTCATCTCTAAGCAATTCAAAATCTATCTCACAGGCATGTTGCAATACCGAAAGTTTGAAACTGTACACCACAAGTGCAGACTTGTGAGAGAGACTGAAGAGAAATAAGAGCCAGATGTTCCACAGAAGTTTGACCTTCTAACCACCAGGGCACAGATCCCTGTTTTAGATTTTCAAGGTGGATTTGTTGGCTGAAGAATCATACAAAATACTAATAGTTGCAGTTTACCATAGGAGAAAGGAATCATATCCCAGTGATCATTTTAGACGGTTCAGAGTAAAATTATATCCTTACCAATACTAACATAACAAACATATTTCATCTCTAAAGAGAAAGGCATAGCTTTGAAATTTTATTTACCAAAACAGGAGAATTCAACCATACATCATTGTTCCAAAAGATTGCAATATTCTTTCTAGTGATATTAGAAAAACGTGTTTTTTTCCTGAGTAAGGGAAACAATCATCTAGCCTACTAGTTGATTTTTTAAATTTAAGCTCTACACTACATATCAGTTTAAAGCATTGAAATGCTTTAGTTAAAACCTCTTTATTTTTTATAAACCTAGCATGCAGTCTTCCTATCTTGGAAAGTGGTTTAGAACTAATAGGCCTTTATGAAGCTGAATGTCAAAGTGTCAAAGTTTCCCTCAGGAAAATAAGCACATAAAGCAAAACCCTGTTTAAAGCCTTTAAGTAGAACCAAATGCACTTTAAATGTCTTCAACATGTTTAAGCACTACAATACTGCTAACAGACACTTTTAAAACTAAATATAGTTTAATAGTTTCTCTGGTCAACAAAGATCTTTGGCATGCCTCTGTTTATGCCCAGTGTTTCTGACATAGGTTGCATTCCTGATAGTGCTCACTGTTTGATGCAGATAACTGTGATGACACTCCCTTAGTATAGTGGAAACTCCCATATGAGAAGGGAAAGCAAAAAGTGACATGTCTGTAGAGCAAAACCAATAGTAGGCTGTTGGTCAGGTACTTATGGCATAGTGAGGATAACCAAATACAAATTAACTTGCAGAACAGTCAAGTAGCAAAATCAGGAGCAAAAAAACCATCTATGTGAAGTATTTAGTATTTAACAGAGCCACATGAACTTACAAGGGATCATAGTAACACCAATATTAAAATTTGTAATAATCGAAGGGTTACTAATGTAGATCTAAAGAACTAAAATATAATATATATTCTCCAAAATAACACTATTGTCTCCCTCCTGTCCCCAACCCTTCCCCAATCTAATTTACCAGCGGCATAATAAATACGTTAGCAACCAAAACCACATAGCAAATATTGTTGTTACTTAAGCATCAGTATTTTCATTCACTTTTTTCCTGTGAATATAATAATTATTTCTTTGATATAATGCAAGTTTTAGTAGCAAAAAGGGACCATTTGCTATTCTTGGCAGCATACATTTGGCCAATCTAAATGGGCATTTGTGCATTTTGAAACTGCTTTGAATCACTTCTGTTTTTTCTAATGTCTTTCAGTAAATTATGGAAAATACATATTGAGCTCTGAGTAAACTCTTTACTGAGGTTCCCTTCACAATTTTTTGCAGACCCTGTTTTTAGATTTCTACATTTGTCAAGAATTTCCTTGAAATTGTGCAATTGTCCTTGAAATTTCCTTGAAATTTTAACCAACAAAATTCAGACAAGTTGCAAAAAATTAGGTGGAAAAATTAGGGGGAGGGGGAAAGACAGTCTTCTTTTTCTTCTCTTCGCAGATATTTTTTGCATTTCTGTATCTGAAGAAAAGTTTTAGCATGACCTTTGCTACAAAGACATGCTTTTTCCCTTCTCTGTCCCCATTTGAACAGATTTACTCTGAGGAAAAGCATGCATATGCTGAATAGCAAATCACTGATCTCAATAAAACAGCACTCACCCTGACCACATCACCACCACGGAGAGTTTTCCCACATATGCAGCCACTCTCCTCTAGAGGCAATGCTGGGCCAAAGTCCCTGAACTATCAGCAAGACACTTACCCTTCTTGCACTCAGCGTGCTTCCTTCTGCCTGTCTGAGAGGGAAGAAGAGCTAGAGGAACTTGTCTGGTGTAAATGCAGAGGGGAAAAGCAGGACTTTACCGAGGGTAGGAAGAACAGAGTGGGATTTGGACAGAGGGATCAGCAGCAGTTCATGTGAGATAACTACCTATGCCTGCTGACAGGCATCGTCACTGTGCAATATCATTTTCTTCTTTTGGCTTTTTTTTCAACACCTAAAATACTCTACTGTTATAAACAAATTGACTCTTGAAATAAGCATATTTGAAATGCAAAATGAAGTATCTAAAATTAGAAGACACATACAAGATACTCAGCCATTGCCTACATACAGAAGTTCCTTGTTTGTGTGTCACTGCAGTTGCATGATTTCTTTTTTCCTGTCACAGATCTGTTGCATTCCATGGACAGGTTAAATTGTACTCCAATAACAAGCACCATTTAATACATACTTTGGAAACTAACTGTTGTAGTTCTGCAAAACTAAGCTTGAAACAGGGGTTGTATAATGGTCCCATAACACCCAGATAAATGGCTTTAAGTACGTTTTCTGAATTTGTAGTTATATGTCATTTAAAACAAAGTGCACCACAGAAGCTATTTTTCTTACTTTCATATTGAATTCAGCATTACAAGCCGTTTATAGCTGGCCACTGATACCTCCCTCCCCTCTTGCTTATTACCTAACCTCACCTGCTAAGATTAACTGGATTCCCTCTACTTCATATCCATTTGTGAAGTCAAAAATTGTCCATGACTGTGGACGTGACCAGCATTGTTTCAATTACCAAAGCCTGAATACCATCTTCACTTGGTACCCAAGGTCTCCCATAAGTTGTCTAGATGATCAGAATTTTTAATAGATATTATTTGTACAAAATATTTTTTCCTCTACACTTAAAGTCTTTTCATTTTACACATTAATACTGAAACACACTTTTTGTTGGCCATAAAGTCACTTGACCCTGTCCACATCTAAGTGATACCACAAACAGGTAAATGAATGACAAAGCAAAGTACTTGACCAGTCCACTTTTAGAAGAATATACATACAGCCACACTCTGAGAAACCGACAGATCTGCCCAATTATGAATTTGTAACATATTGGAGAAATAACAGTCTGAAGTCTCAACATAATTGAAAATTATTCATTTAAGAGCAATTGTACATACCTGATTTGTCACCTACTGACATATCAGGTTAGCTACTTGTAAGAAGATTTAGATTCCAGTGTACAGAATGTTTCTCAAACGAAAATAATGTGCCTGTATCACAGAGCTTAAATACGGTAATGCTCATACCAGAGGCTGATAGCTCCGATGGAAAAGTTGAAAACAGTGAAACACTTAACTGTATTGTACAGTTCAAAAAAACCTGCCCTATTAAGAACATTAATCAAATGTGACAAAAATCTATCAAGTCTATAGTTTCAATCTGTAACTACAGGAATTATATAATTTATGACTGCAGGATTAAAACTGGAATTATTCTAAACTGTTGTTTGTCATATCCTCTGCCAAACTTGCACTTATTGTAAACCCAAGTAATCGTCAGTGTTTACACTTCAGGTCTGTACAGCACATGCTCCATAGCTACATTTCCAAGGAACCTCAGCAACACATAAAGAAAAAAAGAAGGCCATAAACATTTCACATGCACTAACAACAGTTTCAGCAATACTTACGAAGGTGCTATGTCCAGATGGTTGATGCTGTAGCCTGATGTACAAAATCCTCCTAGTGTTGTTGATATGGTCACGAATGCAACAGCCAGTGCGTAGTTGCAGCCTGTGAATCCGGCTGCCACTAAGAACACCGCAGGTCCAATCATTCCTTTAAGACAGAAACCTCAGAATTAATGAACGTTTAACACGTTTTCCATGCAACTTCCACCGCCCCCTGGCGTACAGCGCCGGCACCGCACCGCGCGCGTTACAGTGGGTAACCCATTACACAGTGGGACGGTGCGGGATCAGAAATGGTTTAGGGTGGAAGAGACCTTAGAGATCACCTAGTTCCAACCCCCCTGCCACCGGCAGGGACACCTTCCACTAGATCAGGTTGCTCAAAGCCCTGTCCAACCTGGACTTAAGCACTTCCAGGGATGGGACAGCCACAACTTCTCTGGGCAACCTGTTCCAGTGCCTTGCCATCTTCCCAGTAAGGAATTTCTTCCTATTATCTAATTCAAATCTACTCTCAGTTTAAAGCCATTCTCCCTTGTCCTATCACTACACGTCCTTGTAAAAAGGAAGTGCAGATGGGCTGCAAAACTGTTGTTGTCTCAGGAAACAGCAACTAGATCAGAAACATCCCACTCCAGCGAAGAACAAACTAGATAAAAAAATTAACAGAAATCAACATGTTCTGAAAATTACCTTACAAATTAATTTTATTTATTGCTATAAATAAATTGAAGCTACGCTGACACTGTGAACCCTGGGTGAATCCAAGATAGCTGCAGAGATGCTGCATCAGGCACTGGAAACAGCTTATCAGCCATCATGAGCTCATGCCCACTGCTTCCTATGTGCAGTTAACTTTGGTAGCCATTTCCCAGTGCCAGAGCCCATTACATCACCCCATCCTGACCCTCTGCAAACAGCTCCAAATGCACGCTTTTGTTGATGAAGCCAACCTAAGTCCTGCTTTTCCTAAGACATTTTTCTCCTGAGTTATGCATACAAGGTGCGAGGTGTGTGGCCCTGCAGTAAACTGAATCACCAAAACAGCATAGGCTTAAGACAAACAAAGAAAATGCCTGAGAATTTATTACAAGAGCTGCTTTAAAGAAAGCAATTGAATCAGCTGAATTGAGAAGGCAGCAAGGATCACCATACAATAACTGGGCTGCATCTTCTGTGGATCCTGTGGATCTGTGCCTAATCTGTCTTCTTTTTATTATTATTCAGTTTTTTTCTCCTGTCCCCTCTTTATTCAGCAATCAACTTCTCTTTCCTAAATACAGTCTTCTAATTGTGTTCATTAAAAACCTGATCTGGCTGATCTGTTGGTGATTTCAGATCATCTCCCAATCACTCAAGATCATTTTGGATTCTGTTTGGTCTTTCTCCTGCGGTACTAACTGTAAATTTTGCAAGTGTATTCCTATTCAGTTACTTTAGTCTTAGATAAATAAAACACCGAACAACAGAATAGGCTCATGCAGAACAATAATTCTGTAAGTTTGATAAACCTTTTTTGATAACGGTTTTTCATTCACTCTTTTATGGTGACTTTACATGACCATTTATATGATTCGTTTGCTTGTGGTCCAATTATCTTGACCTAAAAAAAGCTTTTGACAATCTCTTATCCAGTAAGCCTATTTCTCAAGGAAAAAGATAGGATTATTCTTGACACATTAATGTACAAATAAAGTTGCTCCTCTCAAGCCATGCAAAATGCTGCCTCATCTCACAGTAGAATGCCCGACTACTCTCCCAAGCCCTTAAATTTTCCCAAATTGATACTATTATATGTTCTAAGACTGTATGTTCCAAGAGTTGATACTTGCACCTACCTATTAGGGTAAAACATTTCCGAACACAAACAGTGGAGAAGTTCTGTTTTTCCCGTAAATAATCAGCAATTTGGCCAGACAGAATTATACATAACCAGCAGCCAAAATAAGGCAGGGCAGACAAAAATCCATTCTGTTAAGGAGGTTAAAAGAAAACAGTTAAAACACTGAAATGACAAATCAATCATGACTTTATCCTTAACTACCAATGCAGTCAGACAAAAACCCCAAAGGTTTAGATCAGCAACTAGCCTCAGGAAAAAGAAAACTATAACTGAAGGTATCCTGTGGACATTAACGTGATTGGGGAAGTTTTCAGGATACCAATATCAAGTGAGTTACTAAAAGTAAGTGGAAGCTGTAAATATTAATCAGAATTTTGAAAACTATACAAAATCTCTGGGGTTTGTACTGCTGTTACATTACATCATTCCTTATCTATCTGCTGAAACATTTGGTGCTGGCTGTAAACAGAGACAAAATCTAGAATAAGGACTTTTCATCACATCTAGGCTGGATATCCCACAGTCCCAAAGCAGAGTTATTCAGGATTCGACATTACCTACACTGAAGTCACCAGTTAATTCCCATTACTTTAAACACGTGCTGTTTAGAGACTTCTGCTTGATTCTACATAATTTTCTGATGAAGGGAAACAAATGGTACTACTAAACTGCCTACATTTACAGCCTTTCCAAAAATTCATGGATAGCTACTGATAACAGAGCTATAATTGGACCTTATCTGTGATTAAAAGGAGTATTTTAATAGAAATAGTATGACCTTTATACACTAATATGAAATGTATATTTGTCAAGAAGTGAAAGATTCCCTAGGAATTTTAATTTGAAATGAAACAAGATAGATATCCCCCACCTGGAGTCCATTCTATCAGTACTTAAGCATCCTATCCGCTGGATTTCAGTGCTCAATTTTCAAAAACAGTAAGTAAAATTTTGAAAAATAGAGATAGTCTCAGTAATTAAAAAACCTTTTTGAAGCACTATTTGAAGACAGCATTATTTTTAACTAATTTCTGTATTTTAGAAAGGAAACTGAACAGCAACAACTATATAATATTTTAAAAGATAATGCAGTTTCCATCTAAATGTGTGGCAACAAAGTTGGTCCAACACTATTACACAAAAATTGCTGGCATCACCTCTTTCTTGCATGGCAGTCATCTTCAGATTTCTCTAAACCAGTTTTGTTTGCTAAACTAGGAAAAGACTATGTTAAACTTCTTGCAATTTCTTAGCAGCTTTTTATGTTAGCTATACCAGTTTCTCCAGGTAAGCTATGACATCACCAAAACTGTTTCATTAAAGACAGACCAGTACAGTCAAGTAATTGCTATAAATAAGAATATTCCACCTTCTCCACCCCCTAATTTTTCCCTGATAAATAATTTAATTTTATAAAATTTCCTCGAAAAGAACTATATATGGATCTTAAGACTATGGTTTTATTTCATCCAGTTACTTTAGTAAGAAAAGGTATTTTACCTCTGCTGCTCACTGAGGAAAGAAATTGACAATTTGGAAAGTGATCCAACCAGAATGAAGGTTCCCTCTGATCCCTTTCTCCCCCAAAACCCTATCCTTAAAATACTTTCAAAAATGCCACTTGTCCAACGGTTTTCTTAGTTTTACTTTTAACTGGAAATAATCTCCTTTATGAGTTAGCAAAGAAGTAGATACTATTTCAGAGGCATAAAAGTTGGTGCAAAATCTGAAATAATCATAGAAGCCATATAGCAGGGAAAATATTTTTATAGTTACTGTTTTGAAGCAGAGTAGATAAAGATGAGTACCACGCACCTTCAAACAGAACATTTAACTTGAAAGCTAGCACTAAGGTAAATGTCAAATAAGCCAAGAAAGTGGAAATTATAAGGCAGGCAACATTTTTGATGCATCTGCTTAATTGTGCAGGATTATTTCCCAGCTATACATTTACACTCCAAGGTTCTTAAACAGTTTCCTCTATTCTAAACACCAAGTGATTTAGTTTCTTTAATTCCGAAGAAAATGACTGTATTTGTACATATCTCACCTCCTCTGCATCAAATCGTAGGATTTCCTTCATGTATGTGGGCAAGAGTGTAAGAAGTGTATAGAAAGTCCAATTGTAGGAGAAATGTGCCACAACAATAGCCCAGAGAGGAAGGGACTCCAGCATAGGTCTCCAGGGAACAGATTTCTGTGTAGAAAGCTGGCAAGCAGGAGACAAAGAGAAGAGAAAAAGAAGGAAATCAGGATGTTGACATGAACATTTCCTAAATACAATGTTTTTGATGCTAACCAAATCTATGCTCATGATCCATTCTGAAAGGCACAAAATAAGCCTCAGTTGATAGATGCAAGTCATCAGCAATGAATTAATTAGTCTTCAGTTCTCAATGAAAGTATACTAAAGTATGTAACTGCTCTGATGTTTACTATTCCAAAGTAAACCAATTACTATATTTTGTAATTCAAAAAGTATACTTTCCCTTGTTGAAATTTGAGGTCTTCTGCTTTTAATATAAATAATTAAATATTTAGTCACCCTTCAGGTGTTGATTCAGCTGAATCTTTCCTGCTCAATCCTAGATATTAATTTTGGTCTCTCAGCCAGCTTCACAGAATGAATCTTACACAAACTTCAGGAAGTGGCTCATTAGTATTATCTCTGCAAATAGTAATCTATTTCTTACTCTAGATGACACACTGAGAAAGAGAAATGCTGCAAAATGTTGTATTGCAAATGTTAAAGACATTATACAGGTCTGGATCTAGTACAAAATGTCAGATTTGAGATTTTTTTAAAATACAAAGCTTTTTAAGTAAAGCACCTCAACAACATCTGTAACAAAAGGCATTATTATAAGTGATTTGTTTGATTATTGATTGTTTTCCAGTTTACAACTGCACTATTTAAAAAATTTTTTTGTTTGAAAAATCTTGCCTCCATCTCAGGTTAAGAATTTTATTCTAAACCTAAACATGTTTACAAAACATATAACAAAGCATAGCAAAATGTAACAAAGCTTGACATTAATGATTGTGTGTGTGGTTTATGTTCAGACTTAAGAAGGTTGGTCTCTACAAAAGTGTTGTACCTGATCTTTTAGAGAAGACAGTATATATTCTCTTTCAGCATGTGAAATGCTCCTGTGAGTTTCTGGTGTATCACTAACCAAAAACATCCAGAAGAACCACCACAATACGCCGAGTGCACCTATTGTTGTGAAAAGATGGGTGAAGAGATAGAAATTTTAAAAAAGCAATTTTATCGAGTAATATCCTCAGATGACATAGTCAGAAGTGTTTTCTCGATACTCTAATATAATTTTAATGAACATTATTTTTCTATCTACTTACAAACACTAGTTCCCCAAAGTGGTTTTATGCACATTTAGATATAATAAAGAACGAAGATGACTAAGCAGAATTTTTTCTTTTTATTTTTTCCTCTTTTCTTTCCTCTACTTGAAGTTCTTCATACAGCAAGAAAGCTGTGTGCTCATACATAATTGTATTTTTATCAGTCACATGGAAAAGCCACAAAAGTATATGGCTCACCCTCAGGAAATAAAAAGTTCACATTAAGTTTAATCACAAAAAATACTCTGTGCACATATATAGAATATTACTACGTGCAGCTTAACTGATGTACTATTCCTCCTTTTCTTTCTTAAGCCAACATTAGAATTGTCCGTTGAAAAAAGGTAACTTTTCAATAATCGGTCCAAATTAACCATAACATTGTAATTTATTTCATTTTGTTCAGTTCTTTGGTTTGAATCTTTGTGATTTGTAAAAAAATTAAGATTTTTTTTTAAGGGAAATGTAACTAGTCTTATATTCTGATTCCTCCTTTCTCATGAAGAATATAAAATGGCTCAGACATGTAAACAGACCTGTAAAAAGCATTAGCTAAGACATTCTGTTAAAATATCTTTCAGAATATAAGTCACAGTAAACATGCTATGCATTCCTTCAGGGTCCCTGTGACTGCTAGAGATTTTCCACAGTTTACATTTTAAGCAGCAGTAACTTTTCACACATTCTTTCAAAGTTGTGGTTTATTCCTAGGATTTATTCCTTTTGTTTCTTTCAAAGTTGAGGTTTATTCCTGGGATTAAAGTTATTAACTCGATTTCACACTTCAGATAAGAAATTTCAGCTTGTTGTTTTCAAGCGGTGGGAGAGTTAAGAGCATTTGACTTGTACCAGCTTTTGTCCAAGTCAGAGACAGCTTTGCTCACTGGAAAAAGGCTTATTCAGCCATTCACTGGAATCTACTTAGCTTTAAATATCTCTAATTGCCCAGAAAGAATAAAACAGCAAGCCAACATGTCAAACACGTTTTTAAAACTTAAAATAAGTTTTATAAGATATGCTTTTCAAAAGGAATATGGATTGTACTTTTAATAATTAAGAAAAATCAAAACAACACAAACTCACCAAATATGTAGAACACATAAACCCAGTTCATATAGTAACAAATTAAACCAGATAGTGGCAGAGACACAACAGTTCCCAGCTGTGCACCTACCAGAAGAAAGCAAAACAAAGTGGAAAAATAATTAGATCTTCTATGGACCCCTTACGTACAAGTGCCATTTCAGAGTTATTTTATTTTTCTGTAATAAATCATGAATAAAGATTGTCATGACCACTACAGGGTTGTTCTTTGCTTTAAAGAAACACAGCCACAATGAGCTGCCTTGGCAGCTCCAAGCAAATAGAGCCATAAAGCCCTAAGAAGCCAAAATTAGAAGGAACGAGCAATAAAAGAGAAGCATTCTTGGCACATTTGTCTCCAATAAAGTGATGGCTCTAACACATCTAAACCAATGCAAATTAGTCAACTGGTATTGCTGCAAAACAAGAGAGAGCTCAACTTGGTATAATTAAGGCCTTGGGAGTATAATGTGACAATATAGTCAGTTTGCATTTTTGTATCTCCTTCTAGCTCCACAAAACCAGGAATGCTAGAAACATGAAGCCGAAAGTCATGCATATATAACCAGTAGGTTCAAATTCCATGCTTCCCGAATGTGACAGGGTCTAGCATTAAGTGAGAAGGGAAAGATGAGCAGATTCCAATACAGAATAAAGCCAAAAGCCAGAAAGAACTATTCCTATGCTTATAATTCAACTTACATTTTGCAAAGAATAAGGATGACAGGTGTTTCCCTTTTGAAATCGAAACCAGAAACCCATATTATTTGCATACTTGACACTTTACTGGTGATAAACAGTAGGTTTTGTCTCTTAATGTTAGCTGTATGATTACTTCTCCAAACTTAATCTCAACTCAGAAAATATTTAGGTTATGTTGATATTCTAGCTACCTAGACCCCTTCTTCCTGGAAACAGTAATTTTTGTTTGAGGCAGAAAGCTCCAACGATGAACAACAAAACCACATACATAATTCAAAATATAAATCATAAAAACAACTACATATCACCTCAACCACATGCTCTCAGAAAATCAACACTATCACGATTAAATTAACTACAGAGCACATGACTGCCAACGTGGAAGGAAAGGAAGGAAAACAGCCTGCCAAGATTACACAACATATCTTATCCACCCGTGACTGCTAACAATGGGCTGTTCAAGGCCACAGACTCTTCTCACTAGTACATTAGCATATATTTTCACAAAATACAAAAGGACAGTTTAAAAGCCCCCAATTGATAAATGCAGTAGAAGGCAATCCCAACTCTATATGCTCTGCTTAACTTGTGCTTAACTCTGCTTAACTTGTGTCTCACTTCTTTTAAAGTAGATTTAATTAAATACCCAGGCAGAAAACAGATTTTTTAAAAAGAGAAAGCATGGAAGCTTTTTGATGCATTAGATGAATTGAAGTAGCTGTTTGAATGATCACTTCAATGAGTGATGAGACACTTGGTTCAGAGCAAAGTGAGGAAACTTGAGGAGAAAGGATTAAGGCTTCATCCCTCTGGGAAAAGTCTTAGCTCCTTAAGAAACTGTAGCTGAAGTTTACACGGTATAAACCTGTCTTCTTGATAAACCACGGGACAAATAGAAAACAGAATTATTACTAATAAGAGTGATCAAAGCAAACCTTACTTCAGTAACTGAATACAAAATTTGTCATCCTCAAAGAAATAATATCAATTTTGACTAGCAAATTTACAAACCTATGTTTTTCACCTGCCCCTCAAATACTGCACTGAGCAATGTGACTGACCAATAAGTACCCAAAATGAGTGAAGGCTCAGTGGAGGTGGGCAAGAGCAACATGTCCATCAAACTCGGGGAACAACACTGGGTGTGACCAACCGCAGTTGTTGCAAAGAAGCTGACTTTATCTCAACACAAAGGGCACCAGAGGGTGGCTTTGGTTTAGATAAGCAGCTATGTCAGTCGACTGGATCAGCTGGTGGTGTAAATGTTTCTCTTCATTCAGATCATTAAAAGTGTGACTGTCTCACTGACTTAGCCAGACCAACATGAGGGGACTGAATACACGGGTCAGTGAAACACAAACTATAGAGGTTAAACAACAACAGAATTTCTGAGAGAACAACAGACATGACTTGCAGTCAACCCAAATTGAAGTCTATTGCAATTGCTATCTTTTGTTAAGTGTCAACTTGCATTTGCTAAGTGCTAATTTTTACTGGTACCGTGCTTTCAGTACATTCTGTATCACTGCTAAATCAAAAATCCTGTATCTTCAAAAAAGTAAATCTGATATCAAACATTACACCTTCCAGACACAGAATATCTAGGACAAACTGGTCAGACAGCATTCAAGTCTGACAAGGAGCTCTTGCAGCAATACATGAGACCTTGGATGTTTTCTTCCCCAAGTTCCTCCAAGAACACTTTGAAACCCTCCAAAAACGAACAAAACAGCTCTATCCTGTGACTGCCCCAGCATTTTTGTTCCTAATGCTAAATATTTTTTATTTACAGTATCTTCTATTAATCAGCTTCACAGTAATTATTTGCACCACTTAATACCAAAGTTAGACCCAAGTTTTTACTTATTTGTAGATCAATAGCTTTTGTCAGGTTATAAAAACCATAAATAAATTAAGAAAACTAATGGAAAGCAAGATTTACTTTAATGTTACACTTTCTGGATTAAATGCTGATTAAAATTTACAATATAAATCCCTTTGATTTAAGTCAATCCTCCCTGTTACTGCAGTAAAAATTTATAATCCCATTATCAGCGTGGGAATTTCTCACCTGCATATGAAATACTAAGGAGCTTGCTGCGTTCCAGTGGAGGAGCCCAAGAAGACCACATTGAATGCATAGCTGGGAAGGTAACACCCTAGAAAACATAATTTCATTCTGTTGAAATGCAAGAATATAGAACTCACTTCAACTTTACATGTTTCAAAGCATGTTTCATTAAAAAGCAGTAGTATAATCTATTAGTTTGTTGTCTAGCAAGAAACCACTTACAAAAATTGTGCAAGGCATGAGAATAGGGAGGCAGAATTAATTTCTCCTGCTTTAAACTCTATATATACTGGAAAAGCAGCAACAATACAAACGACACTGTTTTGAGGCCCTAGTTTCCGAAAAATTAGAATAGTTTTGTATCAAGTATCCTTAGATTTTTAATTTGAAAAACTTAGACTGAAATATAGTGAAAATGCTTTAATTCTAAAAAACGTAAAACTAAACCATTCAAATGAAACAATCCATATACTACTCCAGCATAACAACCCCCACAGAGTCTAATCACTGCAACTTTAAACAAATTATTCAGATGCATTTTCAAATTACATAGAGGAAACAGGATTACCTCTCCCAGTCCTTCCAAGGCTCTGACAGCTATGAGGTAGCCAACTCCTAAATTTGCAGCTAAGGGAGTAAGCAGGGTGAATACAGAGGTACCAAAGATGCCAAACCCCAGCAACAGTTTGCCTCCAATTTTGCTTGCAAGATATCCTCCTGGAATCTGAGTAATGATATAGCCATAGAAAAAAGAACCAAGGATCCATCCCTGAGTATCAGCATCCCAAGAATACTTTTCTCCCTAAGAAGAGGAAAAAAACCCAAAAACCAAAATGCAGTAAGTTAAAGATAGCTGTTTCTCTGACCATATTTTTTATTACATTGATCACTATTTAGTCCTTTCTAGATAAATTCCAATTTTCTCGTGACCTACTCCTTAGTGTCTCCTTCCTCGACACTCACCTGTACTGCAAGCAAAGTTGTGCTAAAATCTAATTCAGGTAGTTTACATCTGTTTGGACATATCTAACCCAAGGATGCAAATCATCACTACATGAAATACAAGTGCTCTGGTAGTTACTCCTTTTTGAATTCTAAGCAGCTTTGGTTAGGTGACAGGTACTGACTATGTAAGTCTGCCTAAGGACAGAATCACAGTGGACATTCTGTCATGCTCTATAAAATGGTTTTACCTGCAGAAAATTTATAGGAAAAAACCCCAAACAAATAAGGAGATGCAGGTGCTTAAATTTAACATAAAGAAAGAGAGCAGTCAAGGACAGGGCTCACAAGGGTAGGCGGGATAATGGGAGAAGCACAACAGAGGGAAGACGAGTTTAGTGGACAATGCAAAAAAAGTGAAGATGATTGAGACAGGAATCTGCAGCTATAAAGAAAGCCAGCAAGAAGACAGGAACTGTTGCCCAATAAAGTGATTCTGAAATTTGGGATCACTTCCAAAAGACCAATTTTTCCGCATCTAAATGAGCAGCATACATTTCAAAGAAATGATGAGACAATCTTCCCATAAAGTTCACCATTATAATTTGTGATAAATAATAAATGACCTCTAAACAAGCAAACAAAATGAAAAGAGGAAGATGGCAAGAGTGCTCAGGAAAAACTTCAACTATAAGACAAGATCTATGCAAGTCCAAATTCACAAAGTTGGGGGTTTTTTAGAAGTTTTTTTCCATATCTGGCAGTTCAGTTAAGAAATGTGATTTTAAGGATTACTGGAAGTCAGAGGTAAAGGATATAAAGACAAAATGCATGATCTGGGAAAGAGATTGAAGAAGTGAAGAGAGAAATATTACATGTTAATTTGTAATGAAATTTCATGCCATTATGACTGTACAAAGAAAAGGCAAATTGGACAGTGATGGGAGCTCTGACGAAGATGTAACACTAACAATTGATAAGTGGCATATAAAACAGTGAGTCATGGTAGATCTACATGATCAGATTAGCCAGTTTCTAAGGAATAGCGCGGAAAAGACGTACGTAAAAAAGATGACTGTGAGCACAGTGCTTCTCAATTAGCTAGTCATTTAAGGCTAATACTTCCCAGAATAGCTTTAGAAGAACCACTGGAAAGGCCATCCAGTAAAAAACAGCCTGTTCTCTTGCCACCTAAATATGGTTCTATCTTTCACAGAGTTCTAAAACCGCTTTGACATGCCACGTTACAAGACAATACGTCTGAGACCTCACCGTTGTGTTGCGATGAACATTTATAGTGGAAGAATGCTCTGGACACACATTGGAAGTCACATTCTTTGCTAAGCTTGTGTTAGGTTCTACCATATCCACCAGAGCGACACTGAGGTTCACACGCAATGCATACAGGAGGAAGAACCCAAAACAGGCCAGGAGTGCGAGATTGTAGCGAGCTGAGCAGCATGCAGGGACTGAAACGAGAGCAAATGAAAAATGTTTAACAGGCCTAAAAGAATAAGAACAACTCATAAGCAGTTTTTACTAATGTTCCCAGAAACCTTTGGGTAAGATAAAAAATTAGCAAGGAGACAAGTTAATTTTTCTTCTTAAGGGGTTTATTCAATAGGGGTAGAGTCTGAGGCTGGTTGAAAAAAATTTTAAGACCCCACTTTCATGCTGATATGCAAAGCAAATGTAATCCTCATTTAGACAGCAGGCAGCTATCCACACTAAAGTGGTGACTGCAGAGGATGGGTAGTGTGTGGTCTGTGGAAATGGATTTAGAAACAGTTTCCAAAGTCCTCTCCAAATACTGTAATATTTATTCAAGACAGAATTTCACAAATTAAAAACCCCAAAACAATTAGTGGTAAGCCTTTAATATACACAAAAATGGTTTTTCAAGAAACACAAATACTCCTAAAGTAATGCTGAAGAAAGGTCATTGCTACTTCAGGCTGTTTTCTAGGACAAATTTTCCTTCTATAATTTTGCTTACAAGGGAATATGGGTTTGCTGACAGCTCCCAAAACTACCAGAAAGGGGAATGGCAAACAATGTGGTGGCACCGTGAAACAGTAACAGGTTCCCAGCTGCCCAGTAAACCCTCTTGGCAGTCAGTCACAAGACAACAAAGGAAACGACTCCTAGGATTCAGCATAAAATCGGTGTTGTGACATTAAGTCAACTCTGTCAGCTGTTTATGCACAGATAGCAGACTATGCACTGTAACACAGTTATTGATTTCCTAGAGTAGTACACAGCAGCATTTGGCAGACAGCATGCATTAGTGCCAGGAGATCCAGATCAGAGCCGAGCTGTAACAGTTTCAATCTCTGCAGCTACTCTTTACGAACTGGGAATGCCTGAAAGGACTGAGCAGGAATGTCAAATTGTTGAGGAACTACTCGAACAATCTGCTGACTTTTCAAATAGAGCGTAGAGTTTCCCCTTTAGTGAGGGAGCTGCATTACTAATGGTAAGTTTTATAATTTAGGTGTATGAAACTCTGGGAAGGCTGGAGATCAGTAGATATTACAACAGTTTACATCAGTTTACAGTGATCTCACCTTTCACTACACAGATTTCAAATGATGAATAGAACAAGGACATCTATGAACAGGACTGACCAGAGCTTCATCTGCTATTGCAATATGTCACTTGACTGGAATTTCTGATTTTCAGTAAGAAACAAAGGATATGCCCTGTGGACAAGCTGATGAGATACTTTCCCCTTCCCAGGAACTTCCCTGAAAGAAGGAATGAGCCTATGTGATTTTATTTTTTCAGGAGGAACACCAACAGAGCCTTCTTGCAAGACTGTTTTTCATGAAATTAACAGAACTCTCCCATTTTTAAAGTCTCTAATCCTGACAAACTTTATGTGAAGTTCATTACGGCTGCACAAATTGTTAAAGTGACACAGAGATGCTGTACTTGCTATATTCATTTAATAAATAAATAATAAACAAGGCTATTGTACAAATATGCAAAAGCCCTTTCAGACCTGTGGTAATTACAAATCTTGCCTCATAAGCATTTGAAAAAGCATCCTGAGTTTTTAAATGACATGAGAGAGAGAGAGCAGCCAAGATTTTATTGCTTACATTAAAAACAACATGCACCGAGAACAGGAAGTACTTACTACACAAAAACTAGTCAAGCAGCTTTGTTGTTGTTTAAAAAGCAATTTGCCTTAAGTAGAAAATCTAAAGTCATATAATTAAAAAAATTAATATAATTACAGGTAAAGCTACTTAACTGTTTCACTTCTTGTAGTTGCTGGGCCTAGACAATAATAACGGAAAGCTGAATAACACACTGATTATGTAACCCTTCCTTGGAAATGCAGATTAACTGGAACATCCATTACTCTTCCTCTATAAGACTTACAGGTACACAACTTGCATAGAGAACAAGCTCCACAAAACAGATGTGCAAGAACTTACGGTCACTAGTGTCAGATTTTTTTCCCCAGTTAACATTTTATTTAAAAAAGCTAACAAACCTGTAGAATTGAAGTCTGAAGCAAATAGCTGCTAAATTATTGGTTCCCTGTCATTCCATCACGTGCACTTGAAATGCCTAAGAATGTTAGATCAGGTTAACAGAACAGAAGACTCAAGAAGATTACAGGTGAGTTTCAGGAGAGTGCTATTATCAGAGACACAGACATTCACACCCCTAAAGTTTAAAGCAGCTAACCAAAGTTTAAAGCATTAGGTTCAAAGTCTTACCTTGACTAGCAGTCTTTGGTCCTACATCTATAGCTAATTCTGATTTCAGGGGCATGTTTTAAAGACTGTAGCAATAATTTAACAAGATTCTTAAACTGCAGTTAAAAAATAGGTCTGTGCTGCAAGTTGCACGGCAGCTTAAAGGAAGTTGCTCGTCTGCAATAGTTTTCCTTGTGGGTGAGGTGAGCCACCTCCAACTGGAGCCTGATGCATTGTGCAAACTTAAGAACATATTGCTTTAGGAAGTCTTGAGCTCAAATTTCTCTCATTCTGGCACTTTTAAAGTCATTTTGTTTGCAGTCCCCCTTGATGCAGTTGCACATTTGCTAAGTAGGTTAGAGCATTTTTGCATGGCATGCTAAAGAAACTAAAAATCTTACTCTACTCTTTATACGTTGTACATTCTAGGAAGCAAAACAGCACGAATAAACATGCATGCTCTGTTGACAAGCTCTGGCCATATATCGAGCCTCCTCTCCTACCTTCGTGCATCCTTCCACCTTCCTTCCTCTCCATACCTGTAACAAGCAATTAGTCTTACTCAAATTCTGCCTTCATATGAAATTTTGACACAATCTCGGTGGACCCCGGTAGTTTTTAATATCTGGACGGGTATTTGGGCTGAAGCCGAGCGAGGGCTGGTGTTTGACAGGGCTGCACGTCTGATCCCAGCACCGACAGAGCCGACACCGCTGTCAGGACTCGGGGCTGTTCCTGATCCAGCACCCCCGGGCACCGCGGCGTCCCCGGCACCGAACGCCGCTAACGGCATGGGCGCAGCCCCCGGGCCCGTCACCGCTTTTCCCGTCACCGCCGTCCCCTGTCACCGCTGTCCTCCATCACCGCTTCTCCCCTCACTACTGTTCCCGTCACCGCTGCCCCCGTCACCCCGGCAGTGACACGGCGGCACCGACCCCTGGGCCCCACAGCGGCGCTCGCGGCCCGCGCCTCCATGGCAACGAGACGCCGCCACACAGAGGCAGCTGCCGCCCGTCTCACCCGTGTCGGGCTGGGGCTCCTTCAGCAGTGGGGTGCGATCCTCTCCCTCCTCGGGCTCCATCTCGCTGCTGCCACCCGGACCGCGCAGCGCGCTCAGGGCCAGACCGCCCGGCGCCACCGCTGCGGCCGGCAGCGTGGCCTGGCCCGGCTCAGCTCTGCCCGGCTCGGCTCGGCTTGGCTCAGCTAGGCTTCACTTTCCTCCGCCGCCGCTCGCCGCTCCCCGCTCCCCGCTCCCCGCTCCCCGCTCCCCGCTCCCCGCCAGCTCGGCTCTGCCCCACTGGGGCCGGGCAGCGGCGGCCGCAGCCCCCAGCGATCATGTGACGGGCAGGGGCGGGCGGAAACGGCTTCAGCGCCGTGGAACCATCTTTACTGAGGGCGGCCGCTCCCTCCCTCCCGCTGGCTGACGAGGCCGCAGAACGCGCCCACAGGCGGGCGGCGGGTGGCGCTGTGCGCGCTGTCCCGAATGCTGAGGAAAAGTGTCCTCGTGGTAAGGACAAATCTGTTCAGGCTGATTCACTACAAGCGGCTGCTCCTCAGTGAAGACGAGCGGCCTCTCGGTGCGGGTCCACTGCGGCAGCCACGGGCGGAGAAGGGAAAGCTCGAGGTGCTGGCGCTGGGTCTCTCTGTAACCACCGAAATGCTGTTTAAAAATAAATTGCAGTACCTGCAGCAGTCTTTTTGCTGTGTATGTGTGTGCAGTGCGCAACTCCTGCAGTGAGGTTTTAAAATCATGGCATGTGAAGGGGTTGGGATGGACCTTACAGATCATTTAGTCCCAACGTCCCCTGCCGTGGGCAGGGACGTCTCCCACTGGACCGGGTTTCTCAAGGCCTTGCCCAGCCTGGCTTTGAACACTGCCAGGGTTGGGGCATCCACAACCCCCCTGGGCAACCTGTTCCATTGTCTCACCATCCTCACAGTAGAGAATTTCTTCCTACTATATAACTTAAATTTTCCCTCTCTCCATTTATACCCATTGCTCCTTGTCCTGTTACTACAGTTCCTGACAGAGTCCCTTTCTGGCTTCCCTGCAGGCCCCCTCCAGACACTGTAAGGTTGCTGTGAGGTCTCCACACAGTCTTCTCCAGGTGAACAGTCCCAAATTTCTTTATCTTCACAGGGAAGGTGCTCCAAACCCATTATCAAATATGTGTGAAAATGCACCAATATAGATTAATAAGCATTGTGGGATATGTAATAGAGCTTTTCTTCTTGGAATCAGTGTTTTTCAACCTCAGTCAAAGCTAACAACAGAATAGAGATCTTTACATTTTACAGGCTCTTTCCTACATGTGAGCCACCTCCACTCACCTTGTCCACTCATCTGCCTTGCCAGGGTTGAATGCTGAGTCATTTTGGTGACGCTGCCTGTCATCCACTGAAAGCTTTGCCTTTACTTAGATGCCCGTGCCATCCTTCTGGCGTGTATGTAACTGCCTGGAAAATTCTGCTTACTGGAAACAGAGGAGTGTAAAAGATTCCTGGCAGCATATTTATCTGTATCATTTCACATAAGGTAGATATATGAGTTTGCAAGTATCAGTAGAACAGCTGTGGCTGTGTGCCTATCATATGGTATTGCATCTATGTGAAAACATGAAGCAAATCAGTGCTTCTGTTCTGGTTCTGAAATTTAGCCTGAGGGTCTTCTGTGAGTCAAACTTACCGGAAGCCATTCTTACAGCCAAAATTAAGGGAAGAAAACGGAAAGAAAAACAACTATCAAACATACTTTGCAATATTTTATGAGAAGTGGTGATTTGGTTTGTAGTACTCAGACTTCAGCTTTGCATTTCATATATGCTTTACTCTTCCTGGTGTTTCTGCACATACCACCAGAGACCCCAGTGCACTGGTACCAGCCCAGGAGGAAGGAAGTGTAGGGGTGTATGGGCCAGGACTATATGCATCACGCATAGGACCATGAGTGTGATCATTTCCATCCACAGGCTGAACCCCAAGGGAAGATAAGAGGCTGCAGGGCCTGGAATGATAGACAAAGATTTTTCAGAAGTCCCCTTTTGTTAACCTCTTATTTCTTCTCCCTAGGGCAAGTTCTATTTTAAATCAACCCACACTCTCAGTACAGGATAGTGCCAAAACCCCTTGCATTAACAAGGAACATGGGTTCCTCTGCCTTGCTGCCTCCTTCTTGGATCTTGCAGATCTTAGTGACTTTGCTGCAGACTCTTAGTGACACTGCACTAAAACGAGTTTGATTGTGAGGCTGCAGCCCCACAGGCAAAAGGTGACACCCATGAATCCATTCAGGAGTGTGTGAAGAACAGTTACCTTTGTCACAGCGGATAAGAATGTAATTCCTTACACCCTGGAGGCTGACTTTGTGTGTAGTTGTGTGGAAACAGGCGTGGTTTGCCTCTGTCCAACCTATCAGGCACTGCTGGTTGTTGGTCTGCTCTGTTAGTGTGTCATACTTATGATGCATCCTCCTGATGTGGAGGATTTGAAGTATTTATTTATTTTTATTTCTTAAAAAGACAATCGTCTGTATTCAAACACTTTTTCTCTGGTTACTTCCATTGCTGTATGCAGGTGTGCTCTGCTAGGCTGGGGAGGTGGTGGACAGCACTGCTCAGCGCCCCACTTCCCTTGTCACCTGACTCCACAGCATAAAAGAGGAAAGCAGCAGAGGTTTCCACTGCCTTCCCTAAATCCCACCCTGACATTTAAATTCATCTGTCTAAAAAGTCATGCTGCAGCATGTCTTGTATAGAGCAGTAGATGGCTCTCTTTCCTCTGTAGTCCTATTGGGAAAAGAAACACTGGGTCTTAAGAGAAAATCCAGCATTGCTTACTCAATGCCATGGCTCCTTTTGGGCCAGCTCTCATATTCATTCAACAGTGCAGATAGGATACAGCTATGGTGATGTAGGAATGCATTTTAAACTGATTACCTATACTCAAAGGCTTAGAAGATGAAAAAGGTGGCCCAGGAAAATAGATCAGTGATGCTAACTTAAATTGTAGTATTTCCTCATGGAGCAAGATAATACTTCTTCTGTCAACCTATTAAGTTTTATAGGATATAATAAAAAAGTTTCCGGGTTCCCAAATTTTTCTCAAAACTACTGTTACAAGATGGCTTTATTTATTTATACCTTTTTAAGGAATCTGGCTTTTGAAATGTTGTTTTTTCAAGATAAGTAAAAGAAAGGGGCAGAGAAATACAGATCCTGTTCACAATATAATACTCATCTGGTTATTCTTAAATAAATGAAAGTAACATATACAGAGTTCGGTGAGTGAAGATTTGTCTAAGTCCCCTTATGCACAGTATAGTATACAGCATTTTAATGTTGTAGATGCCTAATAAGGATATTAGATTTCAGAATGATACTTTACAGAATAGTAGAATATAAAGTTAAGATATCAGATTGTTTGGACAAGAAAATATATGCACATGCGTCCAAGCAAAACATTTCTCAGGTTTCCCATAAGAGAGCAAGTTGCAGTCAATCAAAAAAGAAAAGAATTAGGATGCCTTAAGCTGGGCAGTTCTCCTACTGTAAAGCCGAATACAAAGTCATTACTTAATCATGCATAAGATAATGCTGACCAAATCA